TGGAGGAGGTTTCCAAGAACTAAAAACAGAGCTTTCTGGCTTGAAACCTCCTGAACCTGGAGGTGAAGCTGATTATAACTTAAACACCTTTGAAGGGGCCTGGAAATCGACTATACCCATGTTGCTGTGACCTCCAAAGGAGGGTAAGAGTTTAGGGGTAGGAAACAAGAGAACAAATGTGTATTGTGTTGTTCTTGAAAAACCAACACCAGAAAACTTGACAAATCGGGTTGCCATTATAATATGTCTTACGTGAGGCCATTCCTGAGAAAATAGTTGGTCTACCAAACTTCTTGTATTCACATTTGTAAATCTTTTTCTTGTCACCTTATTTATAGTTTGCTCTTTTTGTTTGTGGTTGATTGGCATTGTTTCTTTAATTTCCTGATGCCTACAGTTTTGTTATTAAAATTCCTAAAGGACATTCCTTAGACCTCTAGAGAAATGCTGGAGAAGACAGACAATACATTTATACCATTGTAGGGACTCAGCAAGGAATGAATTAACAATAATGACGGGCATCAGTCATTAAAACAAACACCCAATATCTGGCTAGGTTCTCATGCTAGTTCATGGTAGGTACTTTACATACGTTTCCCTAATACTAAAAAAAAAAAACAGTAAAGTATGATTTCCTTGTAAATATGAGGTGATTATGATGCAGAGCCATCAATGTCCCCCAAATAACCTCTCTAGTAAGTGGTCAAGTTTGAGAACTGGATCTCTTGAACCCAAGAACTAATTACTATGTTTTACAGTATCCTTAGTAGGAAAGAAAGAATGGGGGGGGGAGAAATTGAAAAGGGGGGAAAGAGGGAGGGGGAAGAGGGAGAAAACAAGAGGAATGGAGAGAAAAAAAGAAAAACTTGACAGACACTGGAACATGTCATTAAGTTTCACAGCAGATTCAGCAACAATACAATGGCCCTTCTATATGCAGTTATTTTGGGCACAAGGTACAAACAGGAAACATTTCCAGGAAGAATTTTTTTTCAAAGTTAATTATGAGACTAATATATAGGAATTTGGTTCAGTCCTTCCACAGGGACAGGAAGTTTGGTGAACAATGTTAAGAATGGGTTGAAATAGTCTGAGTGATCTAACCAAACATCTGAGTGATTAGATGATTATCCTTGGAACTTTCTCCAACATTGTGGGGAGCGGGCAGTGTACAGTTCTTCGTGCATACCTAAGCCAGTGGAACATTGTCCTGGTGGCCCATTTGTCCAGCTATATTTTCCCCAAACGTAGCAGCCTCTTCAATGGAGAAATAACTGGAATGAAGTAAAAATTGCCTTTGGATTCGGCCACTTCTTAACAGGAAAACCAATTCTAAGAACTTTGAAGAAGCAGCTAAAGGCTCATAAGAATCTTTTGCCAGCTCCAAAGATTACTTAAAGTTTAGCCAGAGAGATTACAATCCTACAAAATCCAAGTCTCTTAAAGATGTCACAATTGTAGGAAAACAAGCTGGGAGAATAACAAAGGCGCTGGGAAGACCCCCTTCCATAGCACTGGGGGTTTATGGGAGGTTTGCTTCCTCTTGGACTGACTGACCAGAAACCTGATTAGAGGGAGGGCTTTGAAAACAGTCCCATGGTTGGAAAGGGTGTTTGCTTCCTTCTATTAGAAAACATTGAGTATTTAAAGTCAGCCTTGCCCTGGATTTCCGTAAGAATAACTGGCCGCAACAAATAAGACCAGAGAGTGCTGTTGAGCTTCTCTGGTCTAATAAAGTTGGGGTTCACTCTGCTCTGCACTCTGATTGGGCAACCACAGGAGATCCGCACATCTGGCAGCTAAGCATCCCTCATGTGTCCCTGGGCTGAAGAATGGTAGATGGAGGGTGCGCTCACAGTCCTTACAAGTGGAGCCAGCTTGCAGGCAATCTGTGTTTAGTCAAATCCTTCCCTCCCTCCTCAAAAAGTCTGCCTCTATTTGCATAGATTAGGCCAAGCTGTCTGTCTCTCTAACTCACTCTCTCTCTCTCTCTCTCTCTCTCTCTCTCTCTCGATTATGGATTTTCATCTACACTCCCAAACCCTCTCACACATGCTCAGAAAACAGCAACTGTGCCTCAGTTTGGGTTGTTATTTTTAAGTCTTACGATATTTCTTTTTTATTATTTTTTAAGGAAAAAATTCCAAGTGACATTTCATTAAGAAACAGGAGGGCTGTCTCCCCATGCTGAACAACGCTCACATCTTGAAACACTGTGGATGTTCAAGAAAATGAAGTGTGAGCTTCTGTGGGTGGAGGGAAGAGGAGGGCTAACATTTGCAATAACCTGTGCGCTCATATAATGAGCAGAGGAGGGGTTTTCCCACCGTCCTCCATGCCTTCGCCAGTGAGCGGTGACAAGCAGAGAGGTAAACTGAGATAGTCACAGGAGCTGGGAGCACCACCATGAGCAAGTGACCCTGGATACAGGCATTTCATGCTAATGATCAAGAGGCCCGTGTGTAGCTCATTCTTTTACAGAGATGCCCTTTGTTAGAAAGGACATAATGTCACCATGACTGTGAACAGCCAACTACATCAGTGGGGAAGTTTTCATGCCAATTTCTTCAAATTTTTTCTTTTTGCCACATGGGGAGAGGTGAGACTCTCTTCTAGAATGCTGATAAAACGAAGTCTTCTTGTCTATCGCCCACAGTCTGAGGCCAGCAGAAGTATTTTTCATACTTTACATTTCTTGTACATTTACAAGTGTGCACACCCCGCCCCCCCCAGGATTTCTCCCTCTTATCCTAACCTACTTTGCTAGACCTGCAAATATGCCACTTTTATCTTTGATCTTAATTCCCCTATGATACAGGTTTTCCAAGATGTGATTTCTTAAATTGATGGCAATTTTTAAAAAATGGTTAAAAAAAAAATTCCAAAGAATGATGGGTCCCTAGCTATTTTCTTTTGAGAAGTTAAGTAATTTAATGGGGACGATTAAAAAAAAAAAAGAAAAAAAACCACACACACAAAAAAAACTTTATGGCCAGGTGGCTCAAGGGGATATTTTGTTGAGTACTGATTAAAAATAATTTCTTCTAAATGAGACCTGACCACAAAATGGAACCATTAATGGGCAGGGATGTTGTCACCAAGGCGGAATCATGCCTGATTGCCTCTCGTACCTCCCACCCGCACCACATTTTCTTCTGTTTCTTCTCCTTTTCTTGTTCTTAATAGCAGAGTAAATAAGCAGCCAGCGAGGCCTAAATGTTTTCGGCCAAAAGCAGAGTCCAAACTCCTCAGAGAAAACATTTGGCCTCTGTGGTTTTGTAATATGTTCCAGAACACCGAGTTCAGCGAGGAACATTGTGAAAGACTCCCACCCATCGGAATGATGGTGGGGAATGTTACAGTATCAGAAGTTGCAATTGGTCCTTTTCTTGCAGGCCCATAATGAGGCTTGTAAAAAAAAAAAAAAAAAAAAAAGGCGTGCTATGTGGAAGTTCTCATGGGAAAAATGAATGGCAAGAAATCCTAGCTTTAAAAGAAACAGCTAATCTGCTAGTTTGATTGTTCTTCAAAACTTACGCTGAACCAATGAGCCTAATTAAAAACACTTGGCCTACTTCTATAAAGCATCGTCGCTTTCTCTATGCTTCGTTTGTATACACCACAAAACTCCAGATAGACTATTATTTTTTCAAGTGCTCACTAACAAAGTGCTGACTTTGTTGGGATGGCTGAGCTAATTTCTTGAACTCAGTGTGAAACCTTAGCTAAACAAAATTGTGGTAATTTTCCTTAATTTGTAAAAGTGATTGGAGTGCAAACAAAATTTTCCTCTTGGGTCAATCCTATAATTTTCAATTAACTAAAACTAATTGTCAAGTGGGCACCAAACCTGCATTTTGTTTAAAGGGCTGGGAGGCATTTCCAAGGGTCAGGATGCATTAATTGTCTTTATAATTTTTTTTTTGGGGGGGGGTAGGGTAAGAAAGAGAAAGAGAGAAAGAGACAAACAGACACTAAGAAGCAAGGTTGATTTTGTTCCTGGTATTTAAATACAAAAGGTAAGATGCTTTGAGATAAAATGTCACAGCAAAATAAAATGTGTCTATTGAATTGTATGGTTATAATTAGGATGTGTTAACAGAACTATCCCATCTCTTCACTGGTCCTTTATTGAATGAAGTTGGAAACATGGGACCACTTCCTGGAGACAGTCATGCAGGGATGATTACTACGAAGCAGCGGGTACATGAGTCCCATTGTGGTCCTTGGACCAGCAGCAGTAGCCACACCCAAGAGCTTGTCTCAGGTCCCCCACCCAGAGCTACTGCATCAAAATCTGAATTGGAAGCAGATTTCTGCATTTCCAGTTTGCACAGCACAATCCAAAGATCTCTTAGAGTGCAGAGTGAGCAACTCAGACCATGCACGCGGTGTATTTCCATAGAGAACCTGCCTCAACTGACGGGAGGGAACTCACCTCCCACCTGTACCCCTAGCTTCTGGCCACGAGGCAGATCCACATGCCGACTGCAGCTTACAGGGAAACAAAGCACCAACCCAGAAGTAAATGTGCAAACTACCAACTGCCTACAGTACAAAAGCTATGCCCAGATTGGAAGAAAGTCACACTGTTCTTTAAAGCACATCCGAACTCCATAAAGCAAACCAACCCAAGCACGGATGGCGTATCATCCAGAGAGACTCAGGATTGTCTAGGGCCTTATCTCCTTCCCTTATTTCTCATTCTGCTTCTTGAGGAATCCAAACCATTATTTTGATGGATCCTGTCATTCAACATGGCCATCCAGATGAATTCATAATAATGATGATGATAATGATGATGATGATGATGATAATAATAATAATTAATAATAATAGCAGCAGCAACTCATTTGGTCATGCATATGGTGAAACAGAGAAAGAAAAGAGGTCTTAACAGAAACTAGAGTTTAAAAAAATACACACTTATACATACAAGATCAAGTGAAATACCCACGAGGCCAAGGCAGCCCCGTGCTCACCCCCACAGTGGCTCTTACCTGTGTAAATGAACCTTCCCGGAGTCCCTTTGCAGAACTGTTTGGATTTGTAGGACAGTGTGACTTCCACAACGCCAGGGATGTGCCGAGGAGGGGTCTGCACACGGATGGCATGGGGAGTGATCAACTAGGGGAGACATTTGGAAGAGAAAATAAATGTCATTGCAATATGAAAAGGACTCATTTTTGCAACTCTGCTATCAGCTCTCAATAAACAAAGCTTTAAAACACATAATGAACCTGTCAGTGTTTAAATACAATCTCAAAGGAGCCTGTGTAAAAGACATGGACAACAATATTTACAAGTGCTCAGAGCACAGCCATAACAAGTTTATCGGAGTTTTCCTACATGGCAGGCACTCTGCTTCCTGGTTTGCAGAGGGAACCTGGCCTAATGAAATGATTTATCTACACCAGGATATCCTTTGGAAAATCTGTTTAAAGCAGACACCCCACTCAGAGCTGGGCTCTGTCGTGTCTCTCCACAAGTCGGTGGGCCTGGTATTTGAACTGAGCCCTTAAACATGTGGAAAGCACAGAGGTAGGAAATCACTGGGCCAAGGCACTCTGATTAGCTGCAGAACACACTATGAAATGCCCCTAAAGACCATTTGGTGCATTAACTACCAGAGGCACAATCAAAGGGCTTTAACCTGCCTCCCTGGAATAGTTTATGAATCTGGCAGAACTAAGGACTATCCATAAAAGGGAAATGGAAGGTTGGGGAGGGGCCTGCAAAATGATCACTGGTCCATTATACAATGCCACGTGCACAACGAGAAAGCTCGTTTCTGAACCCTGTTGGCAATCAGATTACACCATGAAGCAGAATTTATTTTTTATTACTCTTTATCTTTGTTTATATAACTGAAATTTTATTAGTGGCCATAAAACTGGCATTATCTGGTTCTTTGAAAAATCCAGCCCTGGTATTTGACGGGTTGACCTCTGATGGTGCTGGATTCTATATATTCTCTCTCTGTGGTGTCTGCCATTGCCCACTATTTGACTTCTCTCACATTCATTTAGCTCAGATATTTGTGGAACCAAGTCAATCTACTATGGTTAGTTATTCAGTTTGTACCAACATATGTGTGTGCTGTCCTTAAGGGTATAACTTAGAAAGGGCTTTTGTTTTCATGTGTAAGCCAGGCCCAAGAGAAATGTTTGCCCTGAGAATCACAGGGGACACCATGAGAATCAAGGTGACACCCACAAATACCAGACAGTGGGCCCTGCCTGAGTCCACTTTCCTAACACAGAGTTCTGGGGGAAAGATGAGGGAACGTGGAGATTGCTAAAGTCTATAGTAACCTCAAACGCTCTTTCTGGAAAAAGATAAAGAAAAGTCTATTGACACAAAAATCATAAAACAATTAGGAAGGCGTATCTCCTGCAGAAGGTGTGGAGCTTTAGCTTAGTTGCTGGAATCACACAAGATACTTCAGTAAAACCCCTGGATGCTGAGTTCACTGCCATGGCCCCATGTTTTGGAGGGCTAAGGGTTTACCCAGAAAAGGCACAAAACAATATTGACTTCAAGTTTCGTTCTTTTCACATTGAAATTCTTCCCAAATGCACTTTATGTTTTATAAAATAAGCAAAGTATGTATCACTTAATTCAGCCTTGAGAAATCAAGGTCTTCATTTAGAATACCCATTATTATACCTTTCTGTGATACAGAAAAGCCCTAAGTGATCTCTGAGGTTATAAGAGGCTGTTTCCCCATACCAATGGTACCAGGTAGCTTTGGTTTTAAAGTTAGTTCTATTTTATTCAGTCTCTTTGTTTCCTCCTGGTACCCTTTGTACATTCTAATCTGCTGTTCTTATTTATAAGCATTGGAATCAGGTAATCAAGTTTATTATTACGCTGAGAACCTGAGAAAGAAAGAGGCTCTAAAGGGCAGCAAGAGATGCTCTTCCAAAATCAAGTGCACGTTTAATCTCAGTTGTTCAGGTAGTGTCTTTGCAGTGCTAGGAATTAACACTTGTTGAGGGTCCTAGGAGGCATCTATTGCATTCCTGCGGATTTTACATGTAAACATTAATGTGGCCAGAGCAATGGCTTTTATTATTATCCCTTTTATTTTTCAGATGTGGACACAGGATCTTAAAATGGTTAAGTTGCTTATATAAGATCATCCTCATTAGGGCAAAAAGTGACAATGATATAGTTCAAAAACCACATTGACAAATACTATCTACCCATACAGGAAAAAATCATCTATATTGAAATTTTTCAAAAGCAGTAACAAATTCAAATTTTTCAGATCCACAGACTGTGTGTGCATGTTTCTATCCTTATGCTATATCTATTTTCAATTGCTTCCCAATCCTTGGCCATGTTTTTGATGGTTAAAGTTGCCCTATTGTTATACTCCAAATAGATGGTATGCTTCTATTTTCAAGAATTACTTAGGATGTAGAGTAATGTTAATTCACAATAATACTTGGGAGGACTTTCAGCCAGTTAGAAAATCCTTCACCTCCACTCTCTTTATTCTTAGAAGTTTTTTTTAAAGATGGAAAGATTAGTAAATAGATGAGTGAAGATGTCTTTTTTAAGTATATGGGGCTTATATTACCAACTAGAGACCTGATGCCTGAAATTCGTATAAGAGGCTTGGCCCCTGCCTCTGCAGTGGCTACCTCTGCCTCAGCCCCCTGCCACCACCTATCTTCTCTGCTAAGGCCCCCACCTGCTGCAGCTTTATCAAGGAGGTCATCCAGAAAGACATCCGGAAGGATATCCTGTCTAATTAGCATATTATCTTGTATTATTATAGATGTGCTGCTACACTGAGGAATAAAATTTATGGGCATTTTTTTAATTGATTAGATATGACAGTGATTAAACTACTGATTTGAGAGTAGGGTACTGGCATAAAGTGTTAGACTCAGAGAACTAAACCACATTTTCACATATAAGTTCATTTTCAGTTCTAGTCAACTGCCCCAACTAAAGCAGAGATTTCTTCTAGAAATCACTAAGCTTCACAAGTGAGGCAAAATATGAATCATCATTAGAAAATGAATTCACTGGTGTTTTTCCTTCTGTGGATGTTAGTCTGGGAACAGTCTCTGGCATTGACACATGGCTTACAGAAGGAAAATATTTTATCTGACTTCTATCCATTTGAAAGCATGGGCTTATTTACTAATATTATAACTCCAAAAATCATAGAATTTGTTTCTCAAAGGAATGCTAGTAAATCATTTAAAACTAACACTCTAATTTTAACACCTAAGGACATAAACATACAAAAAAGTCCAGTGGCTTCAAAAATTGATCCAACAACATCTTGGGGGAAGGACGGGGTTTGGATCTGGAAATCTAGACCTAAAGATATTCCGGGGCAAATTTCCTACATCGCTCCAACCTGGATGAACTAAGGTAGTCACTCTCTGCAACAGACAAAGGAAGGGTTTGAGTAAGTCTAAATTTTCCAAACTTCCATCATTAAAATATAATTTTCTCAGTTTTGTCATATCTGTATGTCATCTATACAATTATGTACTTAAAAAGTTGATTGCCTTTTTGTTTAAAAATATTTTTTAATAAAAGGAAACTTTCTATCTTTACTGTACCTAAAAGACTAAAATCCCCTGCCAAAATAAGGAGGTATTCCGGATGGTAATCTTAGGTAATCAATGTTGTTAAATTCTAATTAAATCATGTTGATAACCTGAAGGAGTTTATTGAAAATAGAAATTAGTGTTAGGTGTGACAGACTTATTTGCCCCAACTGAGACTTCCTCTATCAACATAAATCCAAAGGATTCAATGAGAACCAAACGGAAAATGGCTTTCTGACCCTGTGATTCAGTTCTACTTAACATCTGTGTCAAATCCAAAATTGTCTCCTATACTGCCTGGGACATATGATCCATACTTTGGGAAATATTGTTCTAAGTGATGAGAGAACAGATTCACTCTCTTAATTCAACTTCCTTAAATTACAAATCAAATGAGTTGTGCTAAAAATAAATATTCTCTTGAAACTCTGTAGCATCTGACACTACTTTCTCCCATCTTGGAAGTCTCCACTGTGACACTAATTATAAGATATACGACTTGCAGTGTGTCTAATGTTTATCGACGCACTTGCACAGCCACTATCTCTGAAACCCGTCCTTGTGGGATGTGTATTCCAGATGAGAAATCTAATGGCTGGGCAAGTTAACCAAAATTATGTAAAACACCAGAAAGGAAACCAATCTCTTATGCCTGCAAATAAGTGTTTTCCAAACTGCATCTCTTATTCATAGGCCCCTGTGTTCCTCGTTTTAAACTTTTCCTTCCCGCCAACTTCTTAATTGGAGAACTGTCACAAGTTTTGTTCTATATTCTCCTCCGTTTCTACTTGCCTAACATTTCTTGAGTTCACAAATTGACTCAACCATCTCAGCTTAACTCACTTCTAAATCTCTACCTGTAGCTTTTGACCTCTTTGGCTAAGCACCAAACCTTGATTTGCAACAGCAACAGAATCTCCCCAAACATGTCTAATTGCCGCCTCAATTTCAACGTGACCCAAGCTAAAGTTATCATCTTACTACCTATCAATATAATTCTTTCCTCTGTGTTCACTTTCACACTTAAGGAATGCTATCCTTAGAAACACCCAAAAGAGAAAACTTGAGATATTTATTTTTCCTCCCTTCAGTTTTCCTTTTAGTCATGTTGATTCCTTCCTCCACCCTCCCCTGACTTCCACATCCCCGCCACACACACACATCTGAACACCATTGGCTCTGCTTCTTTACTTTCTTCTATTCAGTTTATTACCATTTCTCACTCGGACTTTTTTCCTAAATATTCTTCCTCTATTTCTATTTTCTCTCCAGAATTATCTTCTTCAAATACAACCTCATAGTGCCATTCCCTGACTCAAACTTTCAGCTACCTCAACTGCTCCATTTACAAATTCCAAACTCCTTGGAATAATATGCAGGGTGCTCCTAGGCCTGACATCCATCTCCCTTTCTATCATACTTCCCATTTTGCCTTTAGACTTTCTGGAGAGTATGGCATGTGGATACATAAAAATATCAATCCTTGACTGACATCTTTGTTTTGTCCATGCTATTCCTTGCCTAAACATCCCCCTACTCATCAAAGTA